GGGTTCAGGGTTTAAAGTTTAGGGGTCTTAAACTGAATCGCTGCCGAACCCTGAACCCTTAACCTCCAAAGTTTACTATCTCAAACCCTTGTAGGAGCTGTACTAGGACCCTGAACCCTACACCCCTTTGTAATCAGAATGGGGTTTTGGGCTCCTTTATAGTACAGTTATAATAAGGAACCCTAAGGAATCATGGTGGTAATTATTTAGGCTTCTATACTCAAAGAAACAGAACGGGAGGCTGCGGGGCTTGGGTTTTGCACACCATGATTCTCCGGAGCAAGAGGCTAAAGAAACCTCGTACTCCCTACACCCTAAACCCACAATCCAGAAGGGTTTAGGGGTTTAGGTTTTAGGGTTTGGGGTTTAGGGTTTAGGGTTTGGGGTTTAGGGCTTAGGGTATAAGGCCCAATCTGCCTCTAAGGATCTTGGTCGGCTGCGCAGCTGGTGTCCGTTCTAAGGCGGATTGTTGGAAAAAGCTTCCCAGCCGTGCAGGGAGTTCGGGTTACACGGTCTACTTCGGAGCTAGGGTTACACATAAGGTCGCCATACTTATAGTTGCTTATATTGGCCCCAAATGAGGTAGGCATAACCTTACTTACTAAGCTCCATGATCCTCCAGGTAGAGGAACATTAGCAGGAACCACTAGGGTGCTTTGACACTCAGGAACTCGGGTTCAGGGTTTGGGGCTTGGCTTCAAGGCTTTAGGCTTCAGGGTTTAGAGTTCAGGGTTCAAGGAGGGTGTGGCGGAAAAAGGGAAACCCTCAACCCTGAACCCCCTAAATCCCAAAACCTGAAACCTTGCATTCTCAACCCTGCACCCGAGTGCTCCGGTTTAGGGCTCAAAAAAATACTTAAACGTTCATGGGACTTCGCAACTGGGGATATAAATAAGGTAACTAGACTTAGAATTACTTTTAACCCCAGTTAACGTACTTTGTTCCTTTGGGTATTAAGTCCCCAGAACCTCGAAGTCGTAACCCCATAGCACCCTTATAGAAACCCTTTGAAACCATTATAGATCCCTTTAAGGAGCCCTTGAAGTTACCAAGCCCTGAACCTTAAACCCTAAACCCTAGCACCAGAGCCCGACAGCTCCGGTTTAGGGTTTAGGGGTTAGGGTTTAGGGCTCAACCCTAAACCCTAAACCCTAAAAGTTTAGGGTTATCTTGGGGCCATAAGCCTTACCGACTATGAACACCCTACCTTTTTGAGAACCTATATAAGCAAACCATAGAAAGGAAACCTTCAACTTCAGGTTCTAGGTAAAGCCTAAACCGCAGAACCTGGCGGTATATATATATATATATATCTATACACACACACACACATCTTTCATGTTCTTCGCCGCGTGCCATGTCGATTACTGTCCAGGTTGCATTGCTCAGTGGCAAGACCGCTACTGTGACAGCCGGTTTGCATGAAGATGTTGAAACATTGATATGTCGGGCACAGACCACATTGGGAGTCGGAAGAGGGCGGCTGCTGAACTCGCTTGGAAGCGTGCTGGATGCACATGCACCCATCAAGGAGTCCAGTTTGCAGAATGGTGACTCACTGATCCTGCAAATGCGGCAAGTTCACGCATGTCGCACAGCCAATGCTTTCGCGACCATCCTTGGTGACGGATCTGTCGGGACCTGGGGGAGTGCTCTTTCCGGGGGTGACTGCAGTGCTGTGCAGGATAAGCTGAAGAATGTGCAGCAGATCCAAGGCTCTCGCTCAGCTTTCGCTGCTATTCTTGGCGATGGCAGCGTCGTGACCTGGGGTGATCCTGCTTTTGGTGGTGACTCCAGTGCAGTGCAGGATCAGCTGAAGAACGTGGAGCATCTCCAAGCCTCCTTCGGTGCTTTTGCTGCCATTCTTGGTGACGGCTCCGTTGTGACTTGGAGTCATGCATATTATGGTGGTGACTGCAGTGCTGTGCAGCATAAGCTGACGAATGTGCAGCAGATCCAAGCTACTAAGTGTGCTTTTGCTGCCATCCTGGCCGATGGATCTGTAGTGACTTGGGGTGTTGCTAGCTATGGTGGTGACAGCACTGCTGTGCAGGCTCAGCTGAAGAATGTGCAGCAGATCCAAGCCAACGATTACGCTTTTGCTGCCATTCTTGGTGATGGGTCGGTAGTGACCTGGGGTGGTGCTCGAGAAGGTGGTGGCAGTAGTGCTGTGCAGGATCAGCTGAAGAATGTGCAGCAGATCCAAGCATCTCGACTCGGTGCTTTTGCTGCCATTCTTAGTGACGGATCCGTTGTGACCTGGGGTGACGCTGAGCACGGTGGTGACAGCTATGGTGCACAGGGTCAGCTGAGGAATGTGCAGCAGGTCCAAGCCAATAGCTCTGCTTTTGCTGCCATTCTTGGTGACGGATCCGTCGTGACCTGGGGTGCTGCTAAGAATGGTGGTGACAGCAGTGCTGTGCAGGATCAGCTGAAGAACGTGCAGCAGGTCCAAGCCACCACGGGCATTCTTAGCGGTGGTTTTGCTGCCATTCTTTGTGACGGGTCGGTAGTGACCTGGGGTGATGAAAATTATGGTGGTGACAGTAGTGCTGTGCAGGGTCAGCTGCAGAATGTACAGCAGGTCCAAGCCTCTGACATGGCTTTTGCCGCAATTCGCGGTGACGGGACTGTCGTGACGTGGGGTGCTGTTGCCTGCGGTGGCGATAGCAGTGCCGTGCAGTATCGGCTTAAGAGCGTGCAGCAGATCCAAGCCTCGCAGGCGCTAGGTTTTGCTGCCATTCTTGGGAATGGGTCTGTGGTGACCTGGACCTGTCCCGCGACTGACGATGACAGTAGTGCCGTGCAGCATCAGCGGGAGAATCTGCAGCAGATGCAGAATTTCCTCGATGGATGCGCCGGGTCGTGCTGCACAGGCTTGGTAAGAGCATGTGCGGCAATATGCGTGCTTCCATGCATTGGTCAGACCTGGAACATAGGTCCCATCCCCTGAATCCCTAACCCTCAAACCCTGAGCACTCAAGCCTTAGTATAGAAGCCTTCTACCCTAAACCCTAAACCCTACACCCTCGACCCTGAACCACCTTACTGTGATGATACTATAACCGGTTTAGGGTTTGAGGTCTAGGGTTTAGGGTTTAAGGTTTAGGGTTTAGGGTGTAGGGTTTAGGGTTTATAATGCACCAGAAGCTCTGTTCGAACTTGCATGGTCCTTACATTAAACCACTCTAGCAATAGTGTACTTGTAGCAACCCCTAAACGAACCTGTAGAAAGGAATTATATAACAGCCCAAAATCCTAAACCTTAAACAAACCCTAAACCCTACACCCTACACCCTAAACCCTAAATCCTGATCCCTCAACTGCTGGAGCGTCTTGGCACAAGAGAGACCTGCGCGAGCTGCAAAAGCAGGGCGTCGAACCTGAAAGGTTCAGGGATTAGGGTTTAGGGTTTAGGGCTTAGGTTCGGGGCCTCAAACCCTAACCTCTAAAGCCTAAACCCTAAATCCGTTCCTTTCCAGCGAGTCTTGTCAAGACATGAGACTGCAGAGATGCCTTTGCAGGGCTTATGTTAGTTAACTGGGTTCTGGAGTACCATACTTGAGAGGGTTCAGGGTTTAGGGTTCCCAAACCTGACCCCCTAGGCTGACCCAAAGGGAACCCTAAACTCGAAACCCGAAACCTAAACCCTAAACCCTAAGGGCTTGCTTTGAGGGCTCCACAAGGGTACGGTCTGGTTTCGACTGCAGGCTTCGACTGCTGTACAATGAGCGTTTCGTGCTTGGGGTATAAGGGTTTAGGGTTTCGGGTTTAGGGTTTAGGGTTTAGGGTATAAGGGTCCATGCGCCCACAAAGTCACTCCAATGTAGCGCAGTGCGTACTCAATAGTTGCATAGACCTTTAAACCCTCAACCCAAAGCCCTAAAGCCTAAACCCTGAGTCCTTACTTCAGTCTTAGAGACGGGCGCCGGCTTTGGAGGGTTAGCAGCACTACAGCTCCAAAAGGCCGTAGAACTGCCCCAAGCCCCCGACCCCGTAACATACCCAGGCGTCGTAACCTTTCATAGTGGGGGTTTAGTGCCTAGGGTTTAGGGTTTTGGATAGACCCGCATTGCAGCATCGATCAGTCAGGAGGACTCCATACGTCCTACCTGTAGTCTCCATTGTAGTTCCTTTTTGGGGATACCTTAGAAAATCCTTCATACATAATTGGTTAAAGCAAAAACAGGAACTATACTGGAGACTATAGGTAAAGCCCTAATTATGAACTTTGCGAAACCCTAAACCCTAAACCCTAAACCCTAAATCCACAACCCTAAACCTCCAAAGCCTAGGCCAAGCCCCGAATCCAAAAGTTCTTCGCCTGAAGCCAATAAACCCCTAAAGCCCAAACCCTTGAAACTCTGTGCCCCTAAGCCCCAAACCCTTCAACCCAAAACCCCAAAGCCTTTAAACCCTAAACCCTAAACCCCTAAATCTGGGACATTTTCAGGTGGGTAGTTACCGTTATAGGAGCCTTATAGAAGGTCTCAAAACCTGTTAAGAAGCCTTATAGAAGCCCTATGTACCCTAAACCCCTAACCCCAACCCCTAAACCCCTAGCTCACAAGACCTGAACCTTGAAAGGGGAACCCAATCGATAGAACGCCATGGCACCCTTTAAAGGAAATCCTACCATGGAGCGTTACAGTTCCCTTTAAAGGGGACCATGGTTTAGGGTTTAGGGTTTAGGGACCCTATGATAGAACCTTATAGTGCCTTTAAGTGAAGCAATTTCGCGTTTTGCGCCAGGCCGCCGCACAGGTTTTGGAGCAGGCGCTTGTGCTTAGTAGTAATGTAGGTTGGGCTTTCGGGTTCAGGGTTTAGGGGTTTAGGGGTTTAGCCTTTAACTATTTTGGAGTACTATAAACCCTATATAATCCAAAAGATTCATGGGGCTGAGTAAGTTGGGTAATGAATACGGCAGCTGTACTTATAGTTTAGTTAGTTTATTATAGTCCCGATTAAGTTACTTGTAATTTTGCTTACGAAGTTTGTATGATCCTCCAAGTTGTCTGGTTCTGGGTTTAAGGTTAAGGTTTTTGGGTGGAGGGTTTATGGTTTAGGATTTTGGTTTGAGGGTTTAAACGGTTTAAGGTTCAGGGCTTGGATCTATCTGCTTCTTGCTTTAGGGTTGGAATCTCGGCTTAAGGTAGGGATGTATCAGGTTCTAGGTTTTGGGTTTAAGATTTAGGGTTTAGGGTCCAGGGCTTAGCATAGGGATTGATTTGGTTCCACCATGTTTGCCTGATGTTCCATGTACTCGTCCAGTCTGTAATTATGTCTTAATCGGGTTCCTCAAGATGAACTTTCGGGGTAGATGTCATATACTATCTTAAATATTTAAGGTTTATAGAGCTTTTGGTAGTGCTTTTCAAGGTTCGTGAGGATTTTCATGGGACATGAAGGGCTTTGGGCTTTAAGGGTGCAGGTTTGGGGGTTTGCACATCGGGGGTTTTTCTAGTTTAGGGATATTGTTCCATTGACCCTAAAACCCCAAACCCTAAAGCGTTTCGGCGTATGGGCGAGGTTGGGGATTCGGGTGTGATGCAGGGGTTGGACTACCCATAGGCTCCATTGTAGTTCCTTTTTGTGGTTTATGTTTAGAACCCTATAAGGTAATCCCAAAAAGGAACTACAATGGAGCCTATGGGTAGTTAGTAAGAATATCCTCTCGTAGAGTGCTATGTATAAAGTGCTGTGCGATCAGGAGTTTATATGTTTTACGGTCTCTGGTACGGACATGCAGGGTTCCAGCTGACACTCCTCAGCCACCAAGCAGGCCGGATACACGAACGTCGAGGAAGTGGCCACGGCCTCATGTGTTTCGATAAGGCATGAGTAGGGTCATATCCTTGCCAAGGAGGCAACGACGATATTGATCCGTTCGTACGTCGTGACCAGCAGCATTTTGATCAACACTGCCCTCATCGCGGTCCGAAGACCATCGTCGTCATAACCGTTGTCACGAGCTTACAACCATGAGCATCAGAACCACCATGTCGACGTCATCATCGTCATCATCCATCATCGCTTCACGGTCATCATCGACGTTTTCCTGAGGGGTATTGGCCGGTATTGGCCAGTATCATCATCGTCGGCACCATCATCACCAGCTTCAGTTCCGGCATAAGCAGCAACATGAGCGTCAACAGCAACATAAGCTTCAGCATCAGCATCGCCATCATCACAACGTCATCACAAACTTCATCACCCCGTCACCATCAGCATCATCACCATCACCGTCGTTGTCAGTGCGGTCGTCCTTTTTCTTCTTCGTCATGGTCAGTATCGCTACCATCACCGTCGCTGCCATGATACTCAGCACTGTTTTCATGTCATCGTTGTCTTCAGCATCATCGTCAGCATAACCATCACTATCATCATCATCATCATCATCAACCTCATCCTCACCCTCATCCTCATCATCATCCTCATCCGCATCATCATCATCATCATCATCATCCTCATCATCATCATCATCATGATCATCATCATCATTTTCAACCTCATCATCGTCAACATCATCATCATCATCATCTTCATCTTCATCCTCATCTTCATCATCATTAACATCAGGCAGGCAGCAGCATGACCACCATCACCATCGCAATCGCCATTACCATCACCAACACCATCACATCACCACAACCGCCATCATCATCATCATCATCATCATCATCGTCATGTCACCGCCATCAACATTTTGATCATCATCAACAACATAATCATCATCGTCATTGGTGTTGTCAACGTCGCCCCCGTCGTCGTCATGCATTGTCGTCGCCATCATCGTCAGCGTCACCACCATCATTATCATCCTAGTCCTCGCCTATCGTTGTCGCCCTCCTCGTCGTTGTCGCCATAGTCATCAACCTGTTCCTCACCAGTATCACCATCTCCATCCTCCTCCTCCTCATCGGCACCAACATCGTCATCATCACCATCATCATCATCATCGACATCATCATCATCATCATCATCATCGTCATCATCATCCTCCTCCTCATCATCATCTGCATCTTCATCACCTTCACCAGCTTCATCCTCACCACCATCCCGAAACCCTAACTAAAATCATCGTCATCATCAACTTCATCATCTTTATCCTGCTCAGCATCATGACGGCCGGTATCCTCACGATCATCATCAACACTACCTTCTTCCGCCTCACCATGATCGCATGTACCATCGTAGTCCGGAGTCGGAGTGTAGATTGCACATGTTGGCGCCGTTCTTACTTCATGATCATGCTCATGTTCGTGGTAACTGCAACTGCCGAGCTCAACCAGAACATCGTTTAGTCCAATCTATCGATGTTTATTGGCTGAGGGTTCAGGGAGTTTAGGGATCAGGGATACGGATAGCAGCTATTAGTGCTCCCTTCTCACCCTTTCAGAGTTTTAGTGAACCCTGCATGTACTGCCAAAAGTTTCTCAGCCCTGACTTGTCGAAATAGGGTTCAGAACGTCACTCTGGCTCCATAAGTGCTACTCTAAGGCGCTTGGAGGCCGAAAATGGGGGTCTGAAGATCGCTGAACTAGTCAAGATATGCCCTGGTAGTCTGCATACAAAGACATGCTAAAGTCGATGCACCAACACCCTAGTGCCCTAGTATCATTATAAGGACTCCTTTATCAAGACGATGTAGTACCTACTCCCTACACCCTACACCCCCAAACAACCCTAACCCGATCCCGCCCTAAACCCTAAACCCCAGCAGTGCAAATAATGCACTGATCTGAGACATGCTTTGCACAAAACGTAGTATCGGCACGTGTGGCGGACACTGCTAAACCCTAAACCCTAAACCCGGAACCCTAAACCCTAAACCCTAAACCCTAAACACTAAACCCTAAAACCTAAACTTAAACCCTGAACCCTAAAAGCGCTTCGCAGGGCGATGGCTTCAACGGCTGGGTTGCGTCGGGCCCTCGGCTTTGATGAGTCTGGCCGGCCAAAGCCATGTTTCAGGGTTTTAGGGTTTGGGTTTTATGGTTTAGGAGTTTATGGTTTAGGGGTTTAGGGTTTGGGTTTCAGGGTTAGGGTTTTAGGGTTTGGGGGGTTTGGGTTTAGGGTTTTAGGGTTTGGGTTTTAGGTTTTAGGGTTTAGGGTGTAGGGTTTCGGGTTTGGGTTTTACGGTTTAGGGTTTTAGGGTTTCGGGCTTAGGGTCAACCTTATAAACCGCGGATAAAGGGCACCGGCAACAGTTCTAAAGGTGATGTGTTGCAGAGAGAAACCACACGACTGCCCGATACCCTAAACCCTAAACCCTAAACCCTAAACTAGACCCAAGCCCAAGCCCACAGATCCTGTCTTATGGACCTTGCAACGTGAGTTCTCGCATTGCCCCCGAAGGCGTGTACCGAGAGAAGACTTCTTGTATCAAACATTGCAATATTTGGGAGTTTCCAAAAATTAGGGTACCTTATTTTGGGGTCCTTATAATAAGGGTCCTACTATTTAGGGTACTATATTAGGGTCCCCTATTTTCGGAAACTCCCATATTTCCATAGACTCTTCCAACCACCAAAAACTCAAACAAGCACACCCACTGCAACCTTGCAAAACCCCAAACCCCGAACCCTTTTACCCTAAACCCTAAGCCCTAAATCCCGAATCCCCTTATATACCCTAAACCCTTGCATATCATTGCCATTGCCTCCAAGGCGAACTCCCCACCCCGAGTCCAATGAGTTTTCACAGCTTAACAGAGAATTTGGGGTTTAGGGTTTGGCGTATTCCTGAACCCTAAACCGCATTAGCAGGGAATGGTTTCTGAATAGATATGTATATATACATACACAGGTAGCAAAAGCCTTAGTGTTTGAAGTAACTAGTGGGGTAAAACTTGAAAAAGTAGGTCATTGCGACAGCAGTAGCAGCAGACACTGGGTTATAAAACCCTAAACCCTAAACCCTAATAGGCCTTGAACAAAGAGGTCACCGAGGCCACAGGAATTACAGGAAAACCGCTAAAGCGTCGACACCTGGGTCGTTCTCTAAATTAGGGTCCCTTTGGGGGTCCTTTTTATAAGGGTGCCGTACTATATTGGGGACCCAAAAAGGGACCGTAATTTAGAAAACTACCCACCTAGCCTTTTCTGGCTGGGTGACCTTTCTCATGTTTTAGTTCGTTTGGGCTTCATGGCTTGTTTTTTTGCAAAAAGACTTGATCTTGGTTCTAACATGGTTCTAGGGCTTGCGGTGTCGGTTTTTACAGTTTTGGGGTGTTGTGTCATTTAGCGACTCCGAACTAGTAAGCCCTAGGTAAAGCCTGAATTCTAAGTCCTCAAACCTCAGTAATCAGTTGTAATTTCAATCCGATCCTCTAAATCCTAAAGCCTCGAACCCTCTAGAAGCCAATGCAGATCTGTAAACCCGATCGAAGCTGGGATTTGTTGTCTTTATAAACCCTAAACCCTAAACCTTAAACCCTAAACCGTAAACCCTAAAACATATAAGCAATTACAGCAAATACATAGCAGCTGCTGGGTTCTGCTGTGAGGTCAGGGCTTAAATTTCATCTTCGAGACTCTGCCGTTTGTAGGGCTCTATCAGTTTCAGGCTCGGGGGTTAACTTATGGTTTAGGGTTGAGGGTCTAGGTGTTTAGGGTTCAGGGTTTAGGGCCCTAAACCCTAAACCCTAAACCCTAAACCCTTATGACACTTATGTGACTGGAGAGCTTGCTGTCTGCGTGGAAGCTGGCACAACTGATGCTCATGATGCTGCCCGTGACGGAGTGACTGTGTGGATACTGTTGCAGCTGATGTTCATAATGCTGGGCTTGTTGTGGTGCATGTTGGCGTCTGGCGCGGAAATTGTCACAGCTGATGCTTATGATGCTGCGCTTGTCGGGGTGCATGCTGGTGACCGTCTGGTGCCTGATGCTCATGATGCTGGCCTTGCTGGGGTGCCTGACGGTGTCTGATGCGGAGCTTGTCGGAACTGATGCTCAAGATGCTGCGCTTGTCGGGGTGCCTGCCGGTGTCTGTTGCGGAGCTTGTCGCAGCTGATGCTCACGATTGTCGGGATGCTTGCCGG